ATATACCACAGGGTGTCCCAATATTCCGTAGACATTGACTACTGCGTATTTTTGGTGTAAAAATAAGTTCATTGGACACAATTTACTGAATTTACCTCTGTACAAAAGTGCTTCATTTGTCCGTTAGAGGGCATCAAACTTTAAAAAAGAGACATTTTTTAAGATATTTTAAGAACAGTTATTCCGATTTGAATGGGATTTTGCGTATCTCTATTTTGCTAAGCGCTGTAACATTTGACTGTCACAAAAATAAAGTACAGGAAGGGTGAAAACTACCTCCACCCAAACACACATTTTACTATAAATATTTTCCAGCTCAACCGACGACTGATTTTTTTTTGTAAAATGTTCCTTCTAGTATTTACTACACTTTTTATTTGCCCTTGCGCATATATAGCTGACTTCCAAAAAATGTTTTTGTCACATTAAGCCTATGGAGGCGCATAAAATCTATTATGCTGTTATAATCTAGTTGGCGAAAATAATATGGAAGCTTAAAAAATTAATAAATTTTAAATTAATCAACGTTCGGATTTGTTTTTGATTCAGGCCCTCTAACGGAAAAACGAAGCACTTTTGTATAAAGGTAAATTATGGGGCAATTGACTTAGTCTGATTCAAAAAATACGCATTTTGTTTTATGGCCGCGAAATATTGCAACTCCCTGTATATTTTGTAGGACTGCTTTGTTGTAGGTCTGCTTTGGAAAAATAAAGGGTAATAGCCTGATAATATAGGAAATCTGCCGGCTTTTTTGCCGATCTCCCCGAGGGGATCGATTTGGTATCGAATCAAAATAATTCACCTAAATTTTTAGCTCTTTAACTCAAACGGTTTCTGAGATTTTCAAAAAACCTGTTTTTTCAATTTTATTTTTATTTTTATAGTAAATTAAAAATTAAGTAATGATGATTTTTTTCTAATTCTTAGTAGAAGTCTAAGACATGAAAAAATAATATGATCATGATTCAATTCTCACGATTCTTTTTTACGGCTCATCGTTCAAATCTTATGGATCCGTGCTCGCCACGATTCAATTGATCGCACCGTATTGTAAGCAATGAATCAATTCTCACAATTCTTTGAACGCACGATCGCATTGTGATCCGATTCAATTCTCACGATTCTTTTTTACGGCTGTTAAAATGTTATTGATCCGTGCTGGCCACGATTCAATTGAACGAACTGGATTGCAAGCAATGAATCGAATGTCACGATTCATTTTTATTACGTTTATCGTTCAATCTTTGCCCACCTCTAGGGCACAATTTATCTCACTATAAAATTGCTTTGTTTCTCCGCTAGAGGGCATCAAACTTTAAAAAAATAAACACATTTTTTCAGATATTTTAAGAATCGTTATTCCGATTTCAATAAGATTTTGGATGTCTATGTTTTGCTAAGTTAAAAAGCACGGAAAGGGTGAAAACTACCCCCACCCCTACATAAGTTTTAGTATAAATATTTTCCAACTCCACCGACGACAGATTTTCTTTTAGTAAAATGGTCCCTCTAGTATTTACTACATTTTTTGTATCTAACAATGTAAAAAAACGCCACATCGCATAGTTTTTGACAAAAAATATTTGGAAGACATGAAAAAATAATATGATCATGATTTTTAAACGAAAAGCCGATTTTTAGGCGAGGAAAGAAAATTAAGATCTTAATTTTTTTAACCTTTGTGAAATATGTCACTCACTAAAAATCGTCAGAAAATGTCTTTTATACTACTCCGAATTTTTTAGCATTTTTTGAAGTGGTGGAGCAATATGAAAAAAATTAAAAACTCATTTTTTTTCTAAAATCTTCTCGGACTCATTTTTTTATAATAATGTTTATTTCTGGCAAGGATGTATTTTTAATAAAAAAATATTTTCTACTCACTTTTTTAAACTAAACACAAATATAAGTTAGTTAAAACCGAGGTTAAAACAGAAGATTTAAAAAAAATGAGTTTTTAATTTTTTCATATTGTTCCACCACTTCAAAAAATTCTAAAAAATTCCTGAGTGTAAAGAAGTATAAAAGACATTTTCTGACGATTTTTAGTGAGTGACATATTTCACAAAGGTTAAAAAAATAAAGATTTAAATTTTCTTTCCTCCACTAAAAATCGGCTTTTCGTTTAAAAATTATGATCATATTATTTTTTCATGTCTTCCAAATGTTTTTTTTCAAAAACTATGCGATGTGGCGTTTTTTTACATTGTTAGATACAAAAAATGTAGTAAATACTAGAGGGACCATTTTACTAAAAGAAAATCTGTCGTCGGTGGAGTTGGAAAATATTTATACTAAAACTTATGTAGGGGTGGGGGTAGTTTTCACCCTTCCCGTACTTTTTACACTTAGCAAAACATAGACATCCAAAATCTTATTGAAATCGGAATAACGGTTCTTAAAATATCTGAAAAAATGTGTTTATTTTTTTAAAGTTTGATGCCCTCTAGCGGAGAAACGAAACAATTTTATATAGAGGTAAATTGTGCTTTAGAGGTGGAAAGATTGAACGATAAACGTAATAAAAATGAATCGTGACATTCGATTCATTGCTTGCAATCCAGTTCGTTCAATTGAATCGTGGCCAGCACGGATCCATAACATTTTAACAGCCGTAAAAAAGAATCGTGAGAAATGAATCGGATCACAATGCGATCGTGCGTTCAAAGAGTTGTGAGAATTGATTCATTGCTTACAATACGGTGCGATCAATTGAATCGTGGCGAGCACGGATCCATAAGATTTGAGCGATGAGCCGTAAAAAAGAATCGTGAGAATTGAATCAAATCACAATGAATCGTTGCCAGCACCGATCCATAAGATTTGAACGATGAGCCGTAAAAAAGAATAGAATTGAATCGGATCACAATGCGATCGTGCGTTCAAAGAGTTGTGAAAATTGATCCATTGCTTACAATACGGTGCGTTCAATTGAATCGTGGCGAGCACGGATCCATAAGATTTGAACCATGAGCCGTAAAAAAGAATCGTGAGAATTGAATCAAATCACAATGAATCGTTGCCAGCACCGATCCATAAGATTTGAACGATGAGCCGTAAAAAAGAATAGAATTGAATCGGATCACAATGCGATCGTGCGTTCAAAGAGTTGTGAAAATTGATCCATTGCTTACAATACGGTGCGTTCAATTGAATCGTGGCGAGCACGGATCCATAAGATTTGAACCATGAGCCGTAAAAAAGAATCGTGAGAATTGACTCAAATCACAATGAATCGTTGCCAGCACGGATCCATAAGATTTGAACGATGAGCCGTAAAAAAGAATCTTGAAAATTGAATCAAATCACAATGAATCGTTGCCAGCACCGATCCATAAAATTTGAACGATGAGCCGTAAAAAAGAATAGTGAGAATTGAATCGGATCACAATGCGATCGTGCATTCAAAGAGTTGTGAAAATTGATTCATTGCTTACAATACGGTGCGTTCAATTGAATCGTGGCGAGCACGGATCCATAAGATTTGAACGATAAGCCGTAAAAAAGAATCGTGAGAATTGAATCAAATCACAATGAATCGTTGCCAGCACCGATCCATAAGATTTGAACGATGAGCCGTAAAAAAGAATAGTGAGAATTGAATCGGATGACAATGCGATCGTGCGTTCAAAGAGTTGTGAAAATTGATTCATTGCTTACAATACGGTGCGTTCAATTGAATCGTGGCGAGCACGGATCCATAAGATTTGAACGATGAGCCGTAAAAAAGAATCGTGAGAATTGAATCAAATCACAATGAATCGTTGCCAGCACGGATCCATAAGATTTGAACGATGAGCCGTAAAAATGAATCGTGGGAATTGAATCGGATCACAATGCGATCGTTGGTTTCTACGGCGAGGCACCGACGGTGATATAGGCATAAACGCAGCCACACATTTACACTTGTGCACATTTACACTTGAACAAAAGCCCCAAACAAACATCATGGGCATAAAATGAAAGTTATTTACAAGATAAAAACTTATTTATACTTTGCTTAGTACGGGAGCATTTGTAAGGTATTTAATTTTCACGTTAATATTTTAGTTAAAATAATATTAGGTACCGACTATTAAATGTCGGACTAAAAGACGAAATCGTGTTTTTATGAAATTCCAAATAAATATTGTTGGTCTCTGCTTAATGTGATAAAAAAACGGCGTCAGCGATGGTTCTAAAATTCGCTGTCATTTTATATGTAAAATTATATGGGGAATATCATCGATGTTCATTTCCAAACCAACTGGACGCCATTTTTTTTCGATCATGGGATATTATATACTATTTATTATGATTATTAAATCGGAATTGGCTCTAAAAATATTAAATTGATATTGAGAAGTCTTTATATATGAATTGGATCGATAATGTAATATTATTGGTAAAATAATCAATCCAATTACGCCAGTGTCAAAAAGTGTTGAAAAACAAATGAAAGAACTGAATATTTCTTTTTCAAGTCCCTTAAGTAATTGACCTATACCAAATTATCGCCGGTAGTGCCAGTTACGATCTTGTTTTTATGAAACGTAAATTGCGCATGTGGTTCATTCAAATGAACGAATCGTAAGAGTCGATTCACTATGAGAAATTGTGATTCGATTCACTAAAAAGAATCGTGATGCCCATCACTATTGTGCCCAATGAACTTATTTTGATTCCAAAAACACGTAGTAGTTTTATGTCTACGAAATATTGGGACACCCTGTAAGACTTTATTTAAAAAAAGTGTTATTTCATAATTCACATTATTTGGCTACAAGTTTCAATCAAACGTGAAATTCTTACTTGTAATACCTGTATTTTCTAGTTGCAATAAGGGCAGTTAATTATAGATTCTTTATCGATTCAAAATAAATATTCCGAAAAGAAATGAACTGCACGATGACCGATGGCTAAGAAGAAAGAAATAAGTGACCGCCGCGAATTGACTCGCCTCCTCAGCGCGTAAAAAGCGAAAAGAGCTCTTTGGCTCAGTCGTTCGACGGCAGCGACGCTGAAGAGACGCGTCGGGACGCCTGCCGTGTAACCGTCGTCGCGTGTCGCGCTCTGAAAAACGACGCCGCGAAATATGCGGCGTCGTGCGGCAATTTACCGGTTTCGAGCTTTTCATCGCTCGCATCATCAGTGTTTTGGACTCGAAAACGTAGAGATAAGGTGTGGGAAATACCGGAGATTTAAATTGGATTTCAAAAAATGTATGTAGATGCATCTTGTTAGAAAAAAATAAGTTTATATGCTTAAAAAAACTTCGAAGTGGAATAAAAGTTTTTTTTAAGCTTCATTCACAACCTCCCAATACGTGAAATAAATTAGTGGTTTCAATTACACTTTATACTTTTTAGTTTACGATCATTCACAATGTTTAAAAAATACAGTTAAAATTAATAGAATATCTTGCGGTAGAACAAATTGCGGTAGTCAGTTGCATCCATAGAGAAAGCCTAATATTTAGCTTATAAAATAATCAACTTTTGCTTTTTTCCCAACCACAATTTCTCTTGAGAGAAGATAATCAAAGGCCAAAATGACATTTCCCGCAAATTTTGAAGTATAATTAGTGGAAAAGTTAAAAGTTTGATAACTTTTTCAACTAATTGAATATTATGTGAACCATTAATGTTGACGTTCTGAATGCTTACATTGAAATTAAAGGAACAAACTTCTACGCTAATTGAAACCACTAATTTATTCCACTAATTGCGAGAGTCTGAATAAATTTTTATTCTTCCACTTTTTCTGACCGTTGTTTGTTTATTACACAGCGCCTTATTTAGATATTTGGACACATATTAATTTTTCTTTTAATTCTACACATATTTTTTCTTGATTAAAGGAAAAAAATAGGTGAAACCTACTATAAGGAGCATATGAAATCGCTCCAAAAGTAAGCTGTAAGCTGTTGTTTTTCTCTAGTTTGTTATAATAATTTGAATAGTTTATTTTTTCAAGTAGTATAGGGCCTTAATTTATTAGAATTATCTACTTTCTGAGACAACAATCATTTTGTTAACAAAACAATTCTTAATTACTAAAAAACTACAATTATATTTACACCATATTTTTATATTCACCGGCAAGAAAAACGGGCACCTTAGAATTTTGATGTATTTTAAAGGTTAATATATTTTGTTCCAGTGGGCCGATTTTCATGATTTTTAAGCAATTTATAGCAAAATTATTTTACTTTTTCGTGTCTCTATTTTACGGCTATGTAAATTAAAAGTGATAGTTTTCATCTGTCTATTATACGGAGGAAAACAAAATGTTGATTTTTGGTGAAAGTTTGACACACCCTGTATAAAATGTTAACAAAGCAAGGGTTTTAAAAATCATTTTATCATCTAGGTACGATGATAAAATTGAGAATAAAGCTATTGAGATTCATCGAAAAAATATTGTTGTCTTCTTCAAAAAGAATATATCCAAAAAAAAAGCTATTAAGATGAATCAAAAAGCAAACTATCCAGAAAATATACATCTAGATGATAACGTTATTTTTAAATTCCTTGCTTCGTTAGCGTACTCCACAGGGTGTTCCAAACTTTCACAAAAATATCAACATTTTTTTTCCTTGTATAATTAACAGATGGCAACTTTCATTTTTAATTTAGAAAGATAATATGCTAAAAAGTCACATAAATTAGCTATAAACTGCTTAAAAAATCATCTAAATCGGTCCACTAGAACACAATATACTGGCTCGCCCCTATAACTTTTTATTTTTTCAGATAAAACAACGAAATTTGGTATGTTAGTATATGACATAAATTAGGATTGATTGACGTATTCAATTGTTTTCGGTCACTTCCGGTTTCACCGGAAATGACTACAACTTTTGATTTTTACAAGGCACCCTCGGTATTTTTTTAACCTAACCTAACCTAACCTAACCTAACCTAACCTAACCTAATAGGACTGCCCATTCAGCCGAAAGTGTCTGCCAGGTGCATGCGAAAACCCTTTGCTTTGTGACGTCAGTGTAGTCCTTGTCCTTAGTGTGTGTATTTAAAAACATTCATTATTTAGTTTATTTATTTAAACACCTCATATGTATGCAGTATAGAAAATTAACTGCATAAATCGTATTAAATATTCGCATAATGCAATTTTTAGAACACCAGTACCCAGCATCACCTTTTGCAGGCATTCTTTTTAGAGTACTTCCATATTTTGCTGTAAAATAATTAATAAACAATATCGTAGGCACTTAGTAACCAATTAGTCACAATCCACAAAACAAAATAAACGTATTTATAAATTCTATAGCTCTAAAAACTTCAAAAACATCTGTTTTACATTTAAAATGAACGTATTTATAAATTCTATAGCTCTAAAAACTTCAAAAACACCTGTTTTACATTTAAAATCGTCAAAATAACTAACTCAAAATTTCTCAGCTGTTATTTTTATGAGTTTACCATAGGCAACCAATAAAACACACTATCATGACAAGGACTACAATGACGTCACAATTGTCAGCTAAAGCGCGGGAAGAGGCGAACGTACGTCTTATGAGGATGAGCAATCCTATTAGTTTATCGTTCTTGATTAAAAACATTACACGATCAAATCTATTTTTCCAAGGCTCCATGATTAAAAATTAGTGTTTTTAACACAGCCATGGCACTCTAGATTAAAATTTAAAATACTATACTTGTTTTTGAGCGAATATGTCAAAAGTTGACATATAATATGTCATTCATTCTATTCAGAATATCATTTTCTATGGAATAAAGTGGAAAAATACCGAAGGTGCCATGTAAAAATCAAAAGTTGTAGTCATTTCCGGTGACACCGGAAGTGACCGAAAACAATTGAATACGTCAATCAATCCTAATTTATGTCATATACTAACATACCAAATTTCGTTGTTTTATCTGAAAAAATAAAAAGTTATAGGGTGAGCCACTTTTGAGACGCACCCGGTATAAAACTTTCAAATACATGAAAATTTTAATGTGTGCCTATTTCTCATGCCGGTGAGTATAGTTTTTAGTTTCGCATTAGAAGCTTTATCGTTTAATGTAGTTTCTCTATTTCCGAAGAATACTTTACTGCCTAAATAATCTTAAAGGCATCATTATTAACCCAACGACAACCAGAACGAGAATTAAGTTGGTCTAGCATAGATAAAAAACGGCTCTCGTTTCAGAACACTTAGTCTTTTTGGCAACATCTAATGATTTTACGAGGCGACCAATTAAATAAATGGCCCAATAAATTGTTGCTAATGTTCGCAACAAGATAGTCGACGATTAAAGCAATATAAATAGGCAACCGTAATAACGTCAAGATATAATATACGGCAGTAGTTAAAATTACACACACCCTCATTCATATTTTGTGTCTGACGCATTGTTCTAGTGTTCTAATTCGGGAAAAAATTCCCATTTATACAAAGAGACACTTTTATTATCATTGTGTTTTTGTGATAATAATTTAATTAGTGTAGACATTAAAAGTAATATACGTTCGCCATTAAATGATGTCTCATACGAAAAGTCACTGTTTTTGACAGTTTTACAAAAAAATTGTCAAACGCCAGGAAAATATAAATTTTTACGACATGTTGAATTGTCAATATAAAAAAATCATTTTAAAGCCTAGGCATTAAAGTAAAGCACTTTTACATTTAAGCATAAAAGTACGAAAATATATTATTTAGCTGACGAAAAGTGTCAAATTCCACGAGCGTAACCATAGTTTCTTGATATATAATTACTTACAAGGTATTACTTTTTAATCTTTTTATATTATTTGGAACGTTTAATTTTTGAAAAAAAAAATATTTGTGAAGTTTGAATTAAAAGTTTAATAATTGGTATCTAAAATATGTATCTGTACAACAACTGTACAGGGCGAGTCTTAAGTAACTGCAAATATTTTTAAGAGTGGATATTTCGATCTCAAGAACCCGCGTACGAGTTTTTTTCGTGAAAAAAAGATTGAAAATTTGGATTTCTTTTAGTTAAAAAATATATTTTTTCGATATGGTAATAAAAAATATATAAAACAATAAAAAATATTATTTTTTCAAATTTTCAAAGTAAAATAACTCGGTTATCTTGAACTTATTTAAAAAACGATAGAGAGAAAAGAAACATATTCTTTTCTCGAAATCTACCAACCCTGAAAATATTTGTACTTTTTGTAAGACCCCTGTATAAGAATTTATAAAACATATTATATTAATTTAGCAAATATTCAATTTAACAAAATATAATCAGAAAAATTATCAAAACATACCATAGTGCATCGATTGATTGACATTACATTAAAATTTATTGACAATAATGGATCAATCAATAATAAGAATGATTTAGTATCTTTTTCAGTAAATTGCTATTAAAATAATATAACCTGGCATCTCTAAATAAAACATTCTTGGCAAAAGCACAGTGTATCTCTCTAATTTTGCGAGCTATAGTATAAAATCTTTGAAATTGAATTTTAGATATCGAGATCTTCAATAAAAGATGATCCATCGATAACACTTGACAATTCTGCTTGCGACAGTAACTTAAAAGGTCGTAAAGTATAATAGATGGCGTTTTAATAGTTTTCTCAAGTAGGCATTTAGAAAACCAATTCAAAATGAAGTCTAGGAAAGCAGAATTTAAGCATTTTCCAATATTTCCAGGCTTACAAATAATATAAACGTATAAATAAAGCTCTCAAACATTTACGGCAATAATACAGTCATCTACAAATATTTTATTATTAAACTCCTCTAGGTATATTTATTTTTCTGAGAATAGTAATATATATGTTACGGTTAAGGTCCGATGTCCGGTTAATGTCGACATTACCCGGTTAATCTCGAGAATAACAAACAACAAAACAACTAAAAACATAACCTAACCCAAACATTAACATGTTAATGTCGACATTAACCGGACATCGGAGTTTAACCGTAACATATACACAATAATAATATACACAGTCTATTTGGTCTATCCCACGGCAAAGTTATTGACAGTGATAAATGTGTCTCATTTTAATTTCAAAGAAGTTTATTTCATTTTACCAAGAATTAAGTTGGTACAATATATTTTAAATTTGAGTGACAAGTGATTTCTTCAAAATATTGTAAAAAAAACTGTATAAAACTGAAAAGATATAATCGAGTAATTTTTTTTAATTGGGGTCTGTGTTAATACAAAACAAATAAGACCTGTATTTTAAACAAAACACC